ACATTAAGCCCTGCATAAGCAAAGGAAAGAAAAGAAAAAGGAGGCTGCTTCGGGTGTTCATTTGCCAATGACTTCAGTCCCTGAATCAAAGCTACTGGTTATGTAAATCCAGTATGACACAAGTCTTTCCCTGAACCCCTTCATTCTGTGACGTACCATCAACACCATCTGCAGTTTCGCTTTCTTCTTCTTCTTCTTCTAGCATTTCAAAGGGAGTCATTATATCATAGAGAAATGAGAGGAAACCATAAAACCAATCTGAACTTTCCTCTGCTAAAATATTAAGGACTTCCTCAAGAGAATCAATATTTTCATTACTGCCATCTTTGGTCAGGCCTACATAAGAATAAAGGAAGAGAGAGAGAAAATAAGGAGAGCAGTTAGGTGGAAAAAAGAAGTGGAGGAAGGGCGATCTCAAAAGCGATGTGCATCATGGTCAGAGAGGTTTACAGAAACGGCATTTGGAAAATAAAGAAGTCCATTACAATGCACACCTTACAATCAACTCTCAATCACATGTCAAAAGAAAGTCACAATTTGACCAATCCTTACCACTCCTACCAGCCCCTACCTAGGTTTGCCTTTCTCTCATCAGAGTGTTGAGGTGAAAGACAAAATTTTATCAGTCAAAAATCAATAGGCAGTAATGGAAAATCAGTTGACTGTAAAAGGAAGAGTGAATAAAAGCAGTATCAGAGAAAAAAAGATATATACTCTGACAACCCCCAGATTTGCTCATTTACCCACCAGATTTTATCGAGAGTTGATTATACACACATTCATTCATTCATTCATTCAAACTAGAAAGGCTTATTTCCTCAAACTTCTCCCCTCCCCACGCCAGCACCCCACTTAAGACCTGGAGTTAAGTTAGGAAATTCTGGAGTTAATATAATTAGCAGTATTACCATTTATAGCATACACAGATGGGCATAAGTACACTGAAATTATGTAACTCAGATAATTTTAACACTTAAATTTTAACACTATTAAATGTGGTAGCTCTATAAAACTCTGGCAATTGACTCACGGTCCTGTAATTCTGGCCAATGACAACAGTCAGCTATTAATAATAATTCACTTTGCCTACCGATATGAAATTTGATCAAGGCCTTAGCTGGTCACTTGCAATAGGGAACATTCCAAACTCCTCTCCCTATAGGCCTGTGAAATTAGCTTCTATTGCTAACACCCCTTTCAACTGTCATTTTTAAGTACTGGACCCAAAACAGGCCCTTAGGATAGAAATAAATCAAAGTATATATTGTTTTTATCATTTGTTTCTTTTTCCTGTGAAGAACTGGCTCTGGGTAGCAAAGGTTTCTTAGCTCCAGTAGGTATCAGAATCTGACAGTACTACCAAGCTGTATACCAAGCCCATAATTCTGAGGAGGAATAATAGGGTAGGGTATTCTGGCTGTAAGAAATGTGAACATCCATGACCACTGAGCTTTTCTGGTCGTAACCACCTAATTCGGTCATTTAAGTCTTTGGCAACACACAATTTCTCCATGTAGTATAACTACCAGCAATCAAGATTGGCAGATAAAGGATAAGACAACAACTAATTTAAAAGTTTTAAAGATTACAGTGAATTTTCTCTGCTTTACTCAAAAGAACTATATTATGTCATTCTTCATGTTTTTGGTAAGAAAAAACGCAAATCGCAGTTGGTATTTAAATTACTTTTTGACAAGTCTAGAATGTTTTCACTCAATTTAGCAGTAGACAAATGCTGTGAACAAAGATCTATATTCCCAACTAAGTCTCTGTGGGAATAACACTGTTTCTTCTTCCTGCCTTAAAACATTATAGCTGCATATTTAGTATAAACATCTTTATTTTTCTCCATTTGCCAATATATTATAAGTACTTCAGAGTATTACATGTAAAATATAAAACTTTTCCATCCTTTAGTATGACAGGTGACCATATGCAACAAATATGCAAAAGCATTTGAACAAAACTGTTTACCCAGCAAAGCAACCTTCCTCTGGTTCTCAAGACAAAAGTACTAGTCCAAAGAGAAAAATATATATTCTGGGTATGTGACTCCTTCTGAACCTCTAAGAACAAGGCTCAACCAAATGGAATGCCTTTGGCTTGGCAAGATCTGGTCTTCTCCTCCCATCAACTCACTCATGCATCTATCAGCCTAGAAATGTTTTTCCAGGATGTAGCAAGTGCTGACTGGCTTTCTTTTTGCTTTCCAGCCATACCTGATACGATGACAGCTAGGTGCTAGCCATAGGACAAAAGGACAACCACATGATCCTTAGGTGGTGTCACTCTAAGGATTTAGTCCTCACGTCAGTTAGTCCTTGGGTCATTTTCCTGTTGATTTTATTTGGAAAATAAGTTTTTAAAGAATACATTTTCAAACAAGGTAGTTTTCAATAATCTGAACTACAACCAAAGATACCTACATTTTAGTTAATGTGGTTAATAAGAAGCTATGCAAATGAAGAAAAGTGGGCTTAGTACACTTTCAAATAATCAAATGGGCCTTGGCCAGAAATAATCAAATAATAAAATTAATGATGGTTAGTGGTCTTGATTTACTCACATATGTTTAATTCTATTTCACAAGAAAATCCACACCCTAAAACTGAGTGAAATGTACCATGTGAATGTATACATTTCCCCAAATTTATAAGACTTAGATATATGCGGACTTAAGAATCTAGAAAAAAAAATTATGAAATAAATGCACAGTCTATGAAAGATTAACATATCTCAATTATTACTATACCTGCGATGCCAACAGCTCCTCTAATCTCTGATTTCCTACCTTCCTCCCTCCCCTTGGATCTCCTGGGCCTTAATCTAAAACCTAAACCCTTAAAGCTTAAACTTCACCGTTAAGCCGCCTCTCCAGTGAGAATGTACCTTGGAAGTCTGGCTTCATTTTGGGTATATGCTCACTGTAGTGCTCTCCCCATAACCTCTACCTGACCACACAGAACCCATTAAAGCCTCTGTACTCCCAACAATTTCACCAGGCTGTCTTTGCAGTAACCTTCCAGTAACAGAGGCACCACTAAACTATAATGATCTTACAAACCAGAAAAGAACTTTAGTCATAAAACTCAATTCAAGTTAAGGTTGCATTTCCTGCAGAGAACTCAAACGCTATAGAAATAAGATTAAAGGTGGTAAGTAAGCCTAACATTTCACCTTTGGTTTGTTTCATCTGTACTGAAGCTACAAGCCAACTGCAAACTAGTACGGGAAGAGTAAAAAAGTATTTATGTAGCTTTATCTGATCTGTCTTTATGCATTTATTAGTAAAGTTACCAAAATAAACCTTGATATTCACCAAATTTAGTCCCACCTCCAAGTGTATAATTCTTATAAATGGCACAATTTATGAGTTCCTTACACTATCCCTGCAAACAGCAATATTCAAAGTTACAATTAATTAGTTTCTTAATGGTAGGTTAAAAACCTTAAAGGGGATGACCTTTTGAAATCTCAAATACACTAAAAATCAAGTTAAGGTAATAGTTTGCTATAGAAATCAGTGTGTTTTATCAAAGAAATACCACATTTTAATTTCTAATGGCTGACATTTCCTGACAGACCAGATGGCTGGTTTTAAGCAAAAACAAACAAATAAAAATCAATAAAATACAGTAGATGAGAGCAATATTATTTCTAAAAATAAGGGAACTTGACCCACATTTTATTTTATCTTTAAAATAAAGAGCTTTGCTATTCAGAATTTGTCATTTAAAGCAATATAATGAAGTGATAAACCATTTATAGGCAAGCAAATTAACATCATTCTGATAAGTTCTATATACTTTTGTTTCTTTTACATGCCCAGGATTATAGTCATCTGAGGATTCAATATATTTACAGAAACTCAAATTTAGATACACAATGACAGGACTACACTGAAAATTTCATTAAAGTTAAGACAAGAAAATAAATGTCATAGTAAGTTCGCAGCAAACATTAATTCCCAATGGGCAGGAAAAAAAAAAAAAAAAAAAAACTAACAGGTCAAAATTAGGAAGGTTTATTATCTTTAATTACAACTAAAACTCTATTTTCCTAGAACTTTCTATATTTCATAAGAAGGTAGATTTAATCTACTAAAAGCAGTTTCATTGGTTACAGATGTGGCATCCTACTGTGTTTTCATTTCTAAAAAACATACACAAAACAGTATAACTAAGAAGAATTTCTTTGGGTCATTATTTTATAAGCTTAGTGTATAATATCACACCATATCCATTATTTTTCTAAAGACTCTAATATAAAAAGTTTTAACATATATTATGCTACATACAAAAGCAAAGGAAGTCTCAACAGGCCAGATTATACAAAATTTGCATGTTAAAATTAACACCATTCTTTCCAGCAAGACAGCACTTTAAAACAAATGAGGGAACACCACATTGTTATTTATTACAAGAAACATCTCTGATAAAGACAGGTAATTCTGATAGCGAAAGAGAAGGGTCCAAGACTTCCAAAATAAAGACACTGGGTCAAAAGACCAGGAGTTCATATTTTAGCGCTACCGTTAAAATAAGCATGGGACATTTTAAGATGTTTATTATCACTTTTATTTCAAAATTAATTTACGTAAGCCTGTAGAAATTTACATTTTGAAATGGAAGTGAATGTCTAATGTTAATGAAGAATATCTATAATTACCATATCTAAAAACAGACTAGGATATTAGCTATTCAAATTCTAAGTTCAGAATAAGAAGTACTTTAAATCTGAAAACACACATGAAATTATTATACTTGTCAAAATATATATGTTTAAGAGATATACACTTATTCACTGATAAAAGTAAATTGAAATGAAAGAGCCTGCAGAAAAATAAGCCATTTAAACTTTTAACAGTAATGAAATACATGATTTAAGGGGAAAAATATCTTCTGTAAGATATATACTATTGAGATAGATATTATTAAAGCAAAAATATTTGTTTCCAGCATTTTATCACCATTAACAAAAAACATAAAATGTGTACTTGCCTAATAAAACTTTGGCATCATCCACATCAAAATCTCCATCACCATCAGCATCATAGATTCCTAGTTTTCCTACAACAGGGGAGAAATGATGGATATGGAACAAAAAAGAAAAGAAATTTAATATGGTATTACAACTTAGTGAAGTCCTGCAACTCAGTCATAAATGTTACCAATTAATGCAATTCTTTGCTCTTTTAATCCTGCAAAGCAGTGTCAAATGAATATCTTCCCTAAAAATAGTGAGCAATTCAGTTAAGAGAGTCAGGAAATGTTCAGCTAGCAAATTCTATGAAATAAAACTGACATAGCATTTTCTTTAAAGACTGAACAACATATTCTGATCTAATTACTCCAGAATAATTTTTTTTTTTTTTGAGACGGAGTCTCGCTCTGTCACCCAGGCTGGCGTGCAGTGGCCGGATAGCAGCTCACTGCAAGTCCTGCCTCCCAGGTTCACGCCATTCTCCTACCTCCGCCTCCCGAGTAGCTGGGATTACAGGCGCCCGCCACCTCACCCGGCTAGTTTATTTGTATTTTTTAGTAGAGACGGGGTTCCACCGTGTTAGCCAGGATGGTCTCGATCTCCTGACCTCGTGATCCGCCCGTCTCGGCCTCCCAAAGTGCTGGGATTACAGGCTTGAGCCACCGCGCCTGGCCCCCAGAATAATTTTTATTAAACTGCTAAAAATATTTTTGGTAAAGTTTTTAGCATATATGAAATAATACTGATGCATTCCTAAGTTACTTGAAATTTAATGTTTCTAAAGCATGAAATTTCATCACACTATCAATATCTGAAGCAAAAGAAACAACCAAGCCTCAAATAAAGACTAAATGTAAATAGATTAACATAGAATCTAAGTACTAAAAATTAAAAAATCATTAATTTTATATTTTACAATCATGATTTATAACATAAATATCATGAATTAACCTTTAAAAATAAAAGACCATTCTGGAAATAAAGTATGTAAAACTGGAGGCTTCAGAAATTATAAAGGAAAATTTAGGATTATTCTACTTAATTAGCACAGGCCATTTATACTAAGAAAAAAAGGGCTTAAAACAGATATGCTGAGGAGACAATACTACCAAAACCTTTCCTCCTCAAGAACAGAAAATGTTTTTAGGCTTTAGTGCTTTATCATAAGGAACACTGTTATTTTGTTTAGCATTTCAAAAAGTCAAATACATTCAACTCCCTAAAAAAGCATCCTAAAATCCACATGATTCTAATTCATCACTGGACAATGACAGTGGAGAAACACAATAATGTTAATGTACAGCAATTTTTTAAACAGCATTTTCAAATACAGCATTAGTACTAAAAAAAACAACAGTTGGCAGCATTGTTATCATTTCTTTAACACAAAGTACATTAAAAAATTACAGAAGGGCAGGCAGAAATTCTGGTTCAGAGAAGCTCTGATCAATCTTTATCTCCCCAGAGCCCTTGCTCTACTTAGCAAAATGGTTACCTTGCTATACAGAAGTCTGACTTAGCAAACACATACACATTTAAAATGATAATGATGAAGGAAGAGATAAGGATGTTATTTCAACTGCTAAGAAAACACAAAGTACTAATCAAGGCTATGCAGAGTACAGAACTCAAGAAACAGTAAAAGACAGAAAATACTATCCTTTCTGACAAACCCATAATGGGAAATTGGTGCTACTGTTTATATTCTGATGTAGGTAATAACTAAATTAGTAGAAAAAGGATGAGCCGTTAGAGACTAACACACATAGACTTGAAATGCAACTCCAATAGCCTACCTTGAAGCACCTCTGATAAGTTATAACGGAAGTCCTTTGCTTTGGCTGCATGCATGTAAAAACATGAAAATTGTTATTTGTGCTTAAAAGTACAAATATTTAAAGTGTCCTCTTTTAAGATACGTTCCCTAACAACATATCACTGTAAGTCAGTCAAAGCATAGATCTACTCAGAAATTTGTCTCCAAACTAAAATTCTCCCTCAGTTGGTCTGTCAATCTATCCAGAGACTCTTTCTTTAAAGTAATGAAAATGTAAAACTTCAATGAAAGACAGATTACAGATAAGCATATTTTGTTATTCCTACAGCCAAAAATTTGTTTGCTCTTTCTCCCCAAAAAGATGTCTATAATCTGACAAGTAAAGCAGAAGCACAGGAGGTCCAATGCAAGGGGAGATCACCCATGCAACATTGTATAGAGAGACAAGTGTGCATTTTTTCCAGTGACAGGTCCACATCTTTCACTGGATTACTAAAGAGGAGGGCCATTATTCACAATAGCCAAAGAGTGGAAACAACCCAAATGTCCATCACTGACAAACAGATAAGCAAAATGTGGTGTGTCCATATGATGGAATATTATGCAGCCATAAAATGAAGTACTGAACCTTAAAAACATTATGCTAAGTGCAAAAAGGCAGATACAAAAGACCATATAATGTATGGTTCTATTATATGAAATGTCCAGAATAAACAAAACCACAGACACAGAAAGTAGATTAGTGTTTCCCAGGAGAGGGAAACAGGAAGAGTTTGGGTATTTAGGGGAAGGAGGTAACAGAAATAATCTGGAATTAGATAATGCTAATGGGTACATAAAATGATGAATATAGTAAAAAAAAAGAAAAAAAAACTGAATTGTACACATTCAACTATATAAAATACTGAATTTTATTTCAGTTTAAAAAAAGATTTTTGGAGAAGTTAAGGAGAATGTGACTCTCAAAATAATAAAGAATCATTAATACAAAAAATTGTGAAAAACTGCAGTGATTACAGGAGAGAAAAGGTAAAAGGTGGAGAAAGGACACTATCAGAATGACCACAGCAACTTCCTCAGAACAGCACACAGATCACACCTACACACACACAATCATATCTGCAAATGCCTATTTCAGCACACCCATCCAGTACCTATATGTGTGCACACATACTCACCCCATGCCAACAGAGACACAGAAGGATATACTTCGAAAACCCTCTCTAAGGAAGGGTTTTGCATATTGTGTGGTTATGATCCATTAGCAAGTCCTTAAATAAATGTAGTGGCTCATGATCAAGTATTTTTAAAATTTATAATTTAACAAAATTGAATAGAAATCAAAAAGTACTGCAAATAGTGAGAATGAGTACTGTTTGATAAAACTTCTCCCTGTGTGACAGACATACAATATAAAGCCTTTTTTCAAAAACCTACAGGTCATGTTTAAAGAAGTTCAAAAGACAGTACTCCAAGGTAACCCTCTTCATATCCCCTTTCAGCTGCACTCTACTGAGAACCATTGAAAGGCTATAGAAATTACCAGTACCAAAAAGATGATAACAAATATTCAAGACTCCTAAGAGATGTCACTTACTCCCTCACAAATTCACATAAGGATATCAAAATTCTTACCTAGAACTTCCTCATAGTCAACAAGATCAAACCAAACGACAGCTACAGATGTCCAGACGCCCAGCAATGCAATCACCATAAACCACGTGAAGAATGAAGTTCCCGAGAGTCCTCCTTTCCTCCCATTCTTGTGTCCTCCGTGCTTTGTCTCTGTTTAGAAATAAATGTAAGATGTCGTAAGAAGAAAACACTTTACTGAACACCTCTTCTCACAATTATTTCTCCAATAATTTGGGATTATGCACAATGATAGACCATTTCAAAAATAGTTTTCAGTTAAATTCTCAAAACATGTCACATAAAATATTTTTGAAAACAGAAAAGATTGTTTAGATGCAACACTAACTTTGAAGTAGTGAAAGAAATAAACTCCTGAATGTTTTTAAAGATTTAGAATAACATGTATATTCCATCCAAGTTACTCATCAAAATGACCTGAATATTACCTCTTTCCAAAGGCAGAGCACATCAACAACTTAATGAAATCACATAGAAATGTAGCCAAATCCTTTTCTCTGTCCCATTTCATTTCTGCAGAATCTTAAAAACTCTGTTAACTACCACAGACGAAAATATCTCCCCCTAAACCATTCCATATTCTTAGCCAGAGAGAGAAGGACAGAAAAGTGAAACAGTATAATGTGTTCCTACTCCTTTACAAGATCTGTTGAGGCCTAAGGAAACAGGAAAAGGCTCATTCACAACTGGTCTCACCGCAGGAAACAGTTTTGTAAACTACTGTCCACCTAAAGTGTCATTTATCGCATTTGATACGCTTAATACACCTTACATTCTTTTGTAAATATTCTTCTTACAGCCAAAAATAAACAAAAATCATTTTATATTAACAGACAATAGTCAACACTGTCCTTAAAAAGATAATATTCAAATTTCCCATAAAAAGGAATACAATACATATTATATCAATATTAATAAAAAGGATAGATAATATCTCAAAATGCCTTCTGAGAAGACGAAAAGTTTATCAAACAGATGATGGAAGACCAGGGCAGTGTCTCCTATTTGTGCAGCAGGTGGAATCGCTTTCATGTGCATTGCTGCTGGTGATCCTCTCTGTGTCCTGCCACTATTTCTACAGAGGGCATTTCTGGATGTTTATACAGGACAATGTTTCATCCTGTGCACCTGTTCCTCACATTGCAAGATTTCTGGCATCCCTGGTTTCCCCTGGACCCAAAGGCAAGGAGCTCCCAAGGCTTAGGACAAACAAAACACCCCCAGACATTTCCATATGTTCCCTTCAGGGGCAGTTCCTGGGTGAGAACCAACGGGGATAAGGACAGGAATAATTATCTGTTTTATAAGTGAAACATGAAATGATTCTCCCAAAGTCACCAGTACAAGTTGGGTAGAACCAGAAACATATCTACACAGCTCTGAGTTCCTTAATCTCTAATCAGTGGGCCAAATTACACAATTTCAAAAAACCCCACTAGCTCTAATCTAGAACTTGAAACTAGAAACAATGGAATTCTTCTTGTTAAAAGGATATACACATTTTTTAAAAATACATCACTAGATCAGTTTTTCAAATGCGGCCATAAAAACTAAATCCATCTGAGCATATATATGTATACTCAAACATATACATATATTTATCTACATGCCTACATCAAAGTATATAGAGTTCCGATGACTAAATAAGACTAAATTTTTTTTTTTTTAGACTTAGTCTCCCTCTGTCACCCAGGCTGAAGTGCACTAGCATGATCTCGGCTCACTGCAACCTCTGCCTCCCAGGTTCAAGGGATTCTCCTGCCTCAGCCTCCTGAGTAACTGGCATTACAGGCACCTGCCACCATGCTAATTTTTGTATTTTTAGTAGAGACAGGGTTTTACCATATTGGTCAGGCTGGTCTTGAACTCCTGCCCTTAAGTGATCCGCCCACCTCGGCCTCTCAAAGTGCTAGGTCATTCTTAAAAAGTCAAGTATTTCCTTTTTGTGACATTCTTTAAATATTAATGGATCCATCAGAACCAGAGTTGTAAATAATATGGTAAATGCATAAAAGTATGCTTACCAAATGACAAATAGCCATCAACTTTGTTTCTAACGTGATCTATACGAAAGCTGGCTATAAAAAAACATAATTTATTTATTAAATAAAAATACTTGCTGGGCATAGATCCTATTGTTGCAGATTAAATAAACTTCAAATAGGTATCATTACCTGAAACACAGGCATAGGAGGGGAAGACTGGGTGAAAATGTCTGCAACGTTGGTAGAGGGAAATGGCGATTTTCAAAATTTTTATGTGTTGTTAGCATATAAAAAAATACAAATTAAACCACTAATAAAATTTAAAGAAAAAAAAGATTTATGAAAGTAAGCTTCTGTGAGGTCAGGAAGTGCCACAGATTCAGTAACAGTTTTGTATGTCTAATTCACTACATTTTTATAAACAGAAAGACTTATTTTCTAACACTGTATCCAAAAAAGAACCCTTATTTCTATATATAGACATATGCATACAAACCCATTTGTGTACAACACTAAGTTTAACAAAAATACTAACTTCCAAAATATCCACATACTCCAAATATGGAACTATAGTAGCTAATGACTAATAATTTTCTGCCTTTGCTACTTATTGCCTCTAAGAATTAAATTTAATTTTTTTTTGTAAAAGGAATGCTAAATCTTCAGTAAAACTGGGTTCTTGTCTTATGTCCTCTTGAACATTCTGTAGCTGATACCAGTCTCTTGTATTTTTCCTCATTAACTGGAAAACAGCAAGGCTAAACAAATACAATTCAATTTTTCATTCATCCAACATTTTTATTCAGTACATGTATACCAGATAATTTTACCCAATAATTAACTTTTTAAAATGAGTATGTAGTCAAACGGATACCCAAGATGATACTGTTTAAAATAAGCCTATACTGCAGTGAGCTATGATGGCGCCACTATACTTCAGCCTGGGCAACAAAGCAAGACCCTTTCTTAAAAAAAATTTTAAAAGTCTATAATGAAATAGCTAATAAAACAAAGTAATAGTTTGAATTCAAAGTTTAACTGTTTCTCCATTTCTATCTATCTTAAAGGGAAATGGAGGAGGAAAATTTCTGATATTCTGAAAAGGAAATTATCATTTATCCAAGTTAACTCAGTGATACTCATTTAAGTTACTGACTGTAACACCAAATACAAGGAAAAAGTAGACAAAAGATTTTTTCTAAAAAAGGAAATGAATGCATGCACCAAAACAGCAAGGGGTTGAGATGGGAAGGAGACAGTCAAACACAGTAAAAAAATACACCTTTACCTAGAATTTGTTTACATTTTTATTTTAGATGTGATTCTAACAACTTTTCTAGCTCAATGCACAAAATTCTAGAATAGATTTCAGACACAATCTAACCCAAATGAGTCAAAGCAACAGAGTGTTGACAGAGGAAAAGCCTATAGACTGCACAGGTCTCTCAGCAAGAGCAGACCCAGGAACTCAGAAAAGCTGAGTGGTGGGAAGTCATTTATGATTGAAACTTTCAGGCAGAATCCCTGACAGTTCTTCAAATAATCTTCCGTACAAGACAGTAACTGGTTTCACATTGATTCTGCCATTAAAACATAGAAGAAATGTATAATAAATCTTAGGAAGATTTTCACTCAAAATAGTTTTTAGTATAGAGATTTATCACTTTAAAAGCTAAATGTTTCTTAAATAGAATGTATTATCAGCAATATTTTATATATCCCTTTTTAATATCAAACAAATGAGTTGCTACTCTAGTATTATTAACCTTATTACTGTTGCTATTTACTTGTTCCATAAAGGAACAAAATATTAAATTATGGAAGGGATTTTTTCTAAGACACCGTTTTTAGGGGCAGTTTTTATCAACGGCAAACAATATACTCTTGATATGTCATTTGGTAAATATGCTGTGCCCAGTCCCAAAGGGCAGATCAGTTTCTGTCCCATGAAACTGATGAACGCATGGTAAGACAAACCCTTAAGAGGGTTTACAACTCCCTAAGCAAATCTGAAACCAGTACCTTCTTCCAAAACTATTTGGGAAGAACATCTAGTAGATGTCCCTGTTTTCTAAGATCAGAATAAATCTAAGTCTTCATTTCATTTTCTGGCTTCATGTTCAACCTGTAGTTCTGGGATCAGTCAAAAAGGATTTTTACTGGGGTTTAAGAATACCGCAAAAAACTATGTGAATCATTTTTTCACATGTTATTCCATCAAAAGTACATGACCTCCAAATCAGAAAATGTTCCCACATACCACCAAACACAGAAATTACTATGGCAAGCAATAGTCAAAAATGAAGACTCTCCAAAATAAAAGCCAGGGGAGGGGAAATGTGTGTTTTATTTATTTGGTCAAGGGAAGGGAGACAAGAAGACAAACCCCAGCACTTGAACGGTCATTAGCTACTTCACTGGCCTACTACTAACTGAATTGGAGATCATTTATAAGTTTTAGCTGGCATTATGTTGGGAATTTCATATTTACACATAAATTCTATACATTTAAAGTTTTTTGAAAAACACAAAAACTGTCAAGCAACTCATCAAACTGATTATTTTTGCATGCTATAAAATGTCACCCTTTGGGAATCGAAAACTGTTAAAAGTGGGTCAGAGGTAACAGCTGATTTTTCCTAACTACATAGATTACCTAATCCACAAGAGGGGAGAAATGTCTTCCAAAAGAACTAAAAGGCAGATACATATATCATTCTTCACGGCTACATGAAGCACTTTATCAGACGAGTCAAGTGACCCATTCTAACCAATTATTCAAACAGTATTCACATAGGACATGCTCTTATTCTCTATCCTAATCGAAGTATCCTTTCAGTTGCTGATTACACAGCTCAGAGTTAGAAGCAGTTTTCACACATGTATTTTTTTCTTTTATAAATCTTCAACATAATGAGTGCATTCAGTCTTTCAATTAATGGAAAGACTATCTTAATTTACAAAGTAAAGCAAAAGCAAATATATACAAAACATTAAATTCAATAAATCATTAAAGAATACTTCAAAGTTAGAGTCAATTTAAAAACAAAATAAAACTCGTGTTTTTTCTTTGCATTTATTGTCTGCTTCACATAAAAGTAGGTCACTTTCCATAAATGGTAAGGCCTTGCTTGAACTAGGTAAGTCTGTTCATTAATATGAGAATGAATTTATATCTCCTATAATTTTATATAAAATCTAAATATACACAATTCTTTAAATTCATTGTAATTAACTTATAAGACTAAAGAAGAGAGCTTGTACATTTTTTTAGGTTTGTAAAATGCAGCCTCCAGTAGTACAACATACTAAAGATCATCTAAATTAAGACACGAAAACATACTCTGATTAAAGACAGATTATTCCATGAAATATTCAGCTACTATGAAAAGTCAGTATCTCCGGTAGTTCAAAATAGAAAATGTAGACAGTGCAGTCAAAGCACTTAGCCAAAAATATTTTAACATAGCACCACTGAAAATAAAGTGAAAAGCTGTCAGCTAGATCTAAACCCACTTTTAGCCTAAATAACAAAAATATACCTTTATCTTCAGCCATTTTGACTTCTTCAATCCATGAATAATAAATGCTAAAGTAAAACAGAAAACAAAAAAACTCAAAAGTACTACTGGCAGGTTTTAGGCACACTGCATGCACTTGCCTACCAGAGCTTGAGACTGGCCAACCCCTGCACTGTAAGGGCCTCTAGAAGTGAAATTGGACCTGACTACAAACTCTGCTCACCAGTTATTTTTAGAGGCTAAATGCTGCTAATCACCACTTAGGCTGAAGTGCACTCCCTAACAACACGACAGCCTTTCTCCCACTTACGGGATTCCTTTCCCAGTTGGTCCTAGCTAACTCCAACCCCTAAAAAATCAAGCATGCTGAAAAAAAAATGAAATGGAACAAACTGTGCTGCCAGTTTTGTTTTCTTGGAAGCAGGCTTTAATGGCTTTAGCTTAAGCACCAATTCATTGAAAACTCAAACAAGTCTTGCTATAAAATATGGCCCCGAGCCCAGAAACAGCTTGATTCGGCCCTTCAGAATCTAATAAAATGGCTATAAGGAAGGACCATAAGATTGTTTGAATGAAACAAAACCATAGATAGCAAGAAATTAATTAATGCTCTAGAATTCTTATTCACAGACACCATCCCAGGAGTAATTCCTCCAATAGCAAAAATAAAGCACCAACACAAAATGTTTCACTAGAAAAGGAGGGAGAGAGGACTGGTGGAGAGGAAAGAAACAGAAGGAAGGCTGGGAGATGAGGAGAGGGAAAGAAAGAAATCTTCAGGAGTAAGAGTAATGACCAGGGAAAGATCATCTTGAAAGGGAACTAGGAAAAGATTACACAACCACATCCTGATTTTTTTCAACTTCTCCCCAACCTCATCTCCAAATATTCTCTTCTGGGAAATAAAATCAGCCATTTATTCGCTGATCTAACATTAGCAGTTCACACACTTCATTAGAGTTCTGATTAGTATACTAAATTAATTTAGCACAAATAGTATCTAGAGCAGGCAGCAACCTTTCTAAGTTGTTTATAAGACTAATTTTTTTCACTCAAATTTAAAGCTTCACAAGCAAATTAAACATTTAAACGCTTTGAATACTAACAGTAATTTCCAGTAGCTCAAGGCAAGAATATATTGCCAATATATTCTTCTGGAAAAAAAAAATGAAATTCTTGCTAAAAGGATATGCACATTTTTAAAAAGTACATCACTAGATCAATTTTTCAAAAGGGGCCATAAAAACCAAATCCATCTGAGTGTGTGTATGTATACACTCAAACATATATATTCAAAGCTAAATGTTACTTAACTAGAATATTAAATTATTAGCAATATTTTATCTATCCTTTTATAACATCAAATAAATGAGGTATTACTCTAGTATTATTAACCTTGCTACTATTGATATTTACTAGTTCCAAAAAGGAACAAAACACTAAATTATAGAAGGGATTATTTCCTAAGATGTCTTTTTTAGGGACAGTTTTCATCAAAAGCAAACAATATACTCTTGATATGTCACTGTGTAAATATGGTGTGCCTAGTCCCAAGGGGAAGATCAGTTTCTGTCCAACGAGACTACTGAATGCATGGTAAGATAAACCCTTAAGAGGCTGGTACCATAGTCTGCAACCTACGGTACCAACATTTGATGGCCCAGGTTTAGGACAGAGTGAAGTAGGTAGGCATCATGGCCAACTAAACAAAATGGTCTCGAGTGCCCTCTGGCCAAGTGTCATTTCCCCCATTATTTTCTTCAAAGATCTGTCCCACTAAACTTAGTGCTTGCTAAATTGTTAAATGATAATGAATCACTTGATGACAGGAGTTAAGGTGACCCACCATTTCATCACCATACAAATTTATTAAGACAAATATTCTGGAAACTTTCTTTCATTATGTTGTTTTGGAGAGAGAATGACAGCAACACGATACCCCCATAGGTGAGACCACTAGAAACCAAACCCCTACACTGATACAGCAGGCAGCTTGGTATGCTTTCGTACTTAGACATCTGGATTTGCTTCAAGGCTTTTCCAGTAAATCTGATTTGGGAGAAGTCATCAAACTTCTAGGCCTGAATTTCCTTGCTTATAAAATAGGTCTTCGCACAAACTAGGCATGCAAATATTTGTTGGAGTCATCAGTGAAACAATTTTTTATCGATTCAACCGTGACTAGTGCACAAATAACCTTACCCCCAATTTAGAGCTCTTTTCATAATCCCATCTGCCCCTGCAACTGCTGGAGCTGCTAGGGTTTCTTCTCCTCTCTTTACTGGCCTGTGCAAGGTCAGCTCCACTCTAAATTACAGAATGTCTACGACTAAATGTGAAACTGTAGGAATCACAGCTATTAAAATGTGGTTATACTTTACCCCAGGCTTCTTCAACACAGCTCCCATTATTCCTCCTTGACAAATCTTTATCAAGCACTTTCACAAGTCCTCTAGTTAATCTTCTTTTGTCTTTTGTAATAATTGAAGTTATTTTGATAAAAATGTCTTTCCTCCTCAGTTCACAATGACAATGACATACCCGATATTTTAGATACAGAGATCAGGAGAAAACCCTCTGAAATATCATTTAATCTATACAACACTTTTTAAAGAACAAGAAATTCTGAATTCTGAACAATTACCTCTTAAAATAACAATTCATTTTTATGATGCAGAATGTTTACGAAAAGTTTAAAAATAAACTTAATTTGCATATAGTAAATCATGTTTTTAAAACTTTAGCAAACACAACTAAAATGACACTAAGTTAACTATTCCTTCTAACAGCTACTGGTACTAACAGCAACTCCAAGTCTAAGCAAAGACCAAACTTCCAACATGTGTTCTGAGACCATTAGTATCAGCCTAATGCCACTCGGAATCAGGGGAGCCAGGACCTATGTCCACTGAATCGAGGGTTCTACCTCCCTCCAAAAACCTTCCAGGTGAAAATCCATCCACCTTCTCCTGAGTCAGCACTGAGTAATTCCTTCCCCTCACCCCGGATCAGCTATCATTACAGCAATGGTTCTCAAACTCTGAGCACATCAGGGTCAAGCAAGGCTTGTTAAGACATGACACCGACCTCACCCCGAGTTTCTGATTTTGTAGGTCTAGAGTGGGACCCTGGAATTGGCATTTCTAAGTCCCAGGTGATCTGATGCTGCTGGTCTAGGGACCACACACAAAGAATACTATACTAGTGGTCCCTAATTCTCAGGGTCTCAAGGAAGGGAAGTAGTTCTTGCTTTTATCAATTTCCAGATCATCATTTCCTTACCCACTAGAAGGGAAAAAAAAAAAAAAAAAGAAAAAAAGAAAGTGGTGACATCAACAACAAAACCCTGCTCCCTGCTCCTCTGTGGTCTATGGCATCCAATTATCTGACCCTCCACTGTGCCCATCGCTGTCATCCACCACCTCCAGTGACTTCCCCACTCCCACCCCATGCTCAGGGAAGTCTTCTACACCTCAAGTCTAGCCATAACCATGTGATTTCAATGTTTATCCCTGTGGCCAGCTAGACAGGTTCTTTTTGCTTCATTTCTTCATCCCCAGAGACCTTGTTCCCCTCCATTTTACATCCAACACTCATTCTTCCATTCTTACCACAGACCTCATCATAAATGCAACCTAATTCACATTCCTCTTCACATCCTGTTTCTTGTTGGATGGCACAACTATCCATCCTAACAGATTCTGTAACCCTGCTGAGAAAGCTCTGCTTTTTTGGCTCCATCATAATGACGGTATGGTGTCATGAGATAGTGAAAATATGGTTCTTTAAAACAAAAGCAAATTTTTTTTCATCTACACATAGTACCCAAAGTTAACAGGAGAGAAGTAACATTTTTGACCTAACACTAAACAACCAGTATTACCAAATAACAAAATGCAACGCTGCAGACAAAAGTCAAACTTGCTTAGACAGACCCCCACGGCCGCCACCACCAGGGAAGGCCATCTCCACATGCAAGGGTTTAGGTTCTTTCATGACGCAATGCACAGAATGGGAGCATTCACTCTTTGATCACAACTTCCTAAATCTCCACTTTGTTTCCTCAGCATTTTCTTCTTGGATCCTGTAGTTCTCTTATTTCTGCTTCCTGTTTATCCCCTCTTCACCTCCTGCCTTCATATCCATCCATGGCCATCTTAGACTCCACAGTTGACCATTTATTTACATCACTCCCGCGACTCAGGAGCCTTTCTTGCTCCTCTATCAGTTCACTGAGTGGACTGCCATGACTGCCTCCCTGGGTGAACACAAGTATCCCCTGACACGGAGGCGAGGGCAGTTGGGCTCACGGAATCAAGATCAGGAACTGAACACAGCAGAGCCAGCTTCAGCTGGGCCTCGGTGCTGCCTGCTACCCTCACACATTCTCTACAAACTCACCTTGCCATTCTTTATGATGACTATGTCAAACTTCTCTGCCCCCAAAGTATCCTACCTCTTCATACTCAAACTGCCATAGCCTCATACTTCACAGAGAAAACAGAACCCTCAGCAGGAAGCTATCCTGAGTGCCCACTGCCCAGCACACAAACCTGCCCTCACCTGCATCCATTCCGACTTCCTCCTCAGCTACCTCGCACTCTGCGCTGTCTCTTTACGCCCCTCCTCCCCCAGCCTCACTGCCTTTGCCAGGTCTCCCTCCACTCCGCGGCTAGCCCCCACGTCATCTTGCTCTTCCCATCACAGATGAAATTCTCCACACAGCCATTGTTTCTCTGTTTTCATTTTCTAACCTCCCACTCACTCCTTACAACCTGTAGGCTTCCATCTGGCTTCTGCACACGGTTCCAGCATAGTGACTCTAATGTCACATCAATGATTTCCATGTCATTAAACTCAATGGAAAACTTTCAGTCCTCATCTGACTTGACCCTCTCAGCAGAACTCTCCCTCCTTCTTCCACACTCTCTTCCCTTGACTCTCATGATTCCAGAATCTTGTGGCACTCCTAACACCTCTTTAAACTTCCTAGTTTTCATCTCCTTTGCTAGCTCACTCTCATCTAGTTGACTTTTAAGTGTGAAAATTCTGTAATACTTGTTCCTATGCCACCTCTCTAGTTCACTTCAGCTATCACCTACATGACTTACCTTTTTCTCTCATTTGAGCTCCACAACCATGGGTCTACTCAACTTCCCATTTGAATGACTTATAAAACCCTCAAATTCAGCATATACACAAGAAACTATGGTCCTTCCCCCTTCTGTTCAGTGTCCTAAATCTCAGAAGCACTTCTGTGAAGCCAGTTGCTTAGACAAAAACCCCAGGATTCATCCTTGACTCTTGTCCCAAACACTCAGCCTGCAAAACTAAGAGTGTATCACCTGGCCATTGCAAATGGGTTACAATGAGGCCAAGGTATGGATTCTCCTCAGCACCTGGGTCACCCTTGTCCATTTTCCACAGCGTAGTTCTTAAAAGCATTTGCGTGTGCCATGACATTAAAAAGGGAGAAACTCTGTCTTAAGTCCCAACATTCTTTCAACTGTGATCATCAAAATCTAAGTTATCATCATCTCCTAGGTGACTTCAATAACTTAGCATACACTTTTCTACTCCATACAGCAGCCAAAATATTTTTTAAATATGATTATAACACTCACTGGTTAAAAATCCCTTAATGTCTTAATACTGCTTTCGAAATAAAATATAACATCTTCCATGTGGCCTACAAGGCTCCATGTGATGGGGCCCCAGCCCGTGGCTCCAGTCTTAGTGTTGTGTCACCCCCCTAGCTGCCTAGACTCCTGCCCAAAACACCTGACCATGGTCTTTCCTGTCTCGGGCTTTCAGCCCAGACTTTTCCCTCTTCCCATAATATGTCAAAGCTGCACCAACACATATAACCTCCAAACTCCAGCTATTGCCAGCTCACTCTGCTTACAAACCACCTCCTCAAGGAAGCCTTCCTCACTTCCCTTACTCTCACAGCAGTATGCACTTCTTTACTGCGTTATTACACAGCTAATTAGACGATTATACAGCAACTGAT